AAAACATTTGGAATCCAATAACAGAAAGAATGGATCAGAAATTGGCCACTTGGAAAGCAAGGTACCTCTCCAAAGGTGGAAAGGCAACACTCATCAAGAGTGTCCAAGCAAGTTTGCCAACGTACTTCATGACCCTTTTTCCTATCCCCTCGGAAGTGATAGAAGTTTTAGAAAAACAAAAAAACAAAAAAAAAGATGAGAGATTTTTTGTGGGTGGGTTTTAAGGATTCACACAAAGATCATCTTGTAAACTGGGGACAGATTTGTAAACCCCTATTTCAAGGGAGGTTGGGGTTAAGGAGATTAAAATCTTTCAACCTAGATTTGCTAGGAAGTTGGCTATGGAGGTTTGCTGCTGAACCTGACAACCTCTGGAGGAAAGTAATAGCAGAAACATATGGGCTGGATGAAAGTGGTTGGAGTAGTGGTCCACCCATGTCGACCTATGGATGCAGTCTGTGGAAAGGAATATGCAAAGCTTCGAACCTTTTCAGAATGGAAGTTGGATTTAAAGTTGGGAATGGAAGAAGGATTAGGTTTTAGTTGGATGCCTGGACTGGGGAGAATTCCCTTGAGGATATGTTTCCCACCCTGTTCAGTTCGGCTGAAGATAAAGAAGCCTTGGTAGCAGATACATTTGTGATAAGGGATAATGCTATTTGCTGGGCTCCAGCCTTTAGAAGGGACTTCAATGATTGGGAGATTCAGCAGGTGGGGAATCTCCTGGTTTTGCTTCAGTCTCAGGTTTTGAATCTGCAATCTGAGGATTCTCTAGTGTGGAAAGGGAACAGAAGTAGGGAGTTTTCAGTTAAATCCTTCTACAACGCCATAAGGGGAGGTTTTGAAACCCTCTTCCCAAGCCGGGCCATTTGGGGAACAGTGGCTCCCTCTAAAGTAAATTTTTTGTATGGGGGCAGCTTTAGAGAAATGTCTCACCAAAGAGATGTTGGTAAGAAAAGGTTTTAACTGCAGTGACCTGAGGTGCAGCTTCTGTGGTGGGGATACAGAAACAGTAAACCATCTGTTTCTACACAGCAACTTTGCCTCAAAGATCTGGAGCCACTTCTTAAGTAGTCTGAGGTTAAGCTGGTTTATGCCAACGTCAGTTAAAGCCTGCCTGGAGGCTTGGCAGATCTGAGAGATGACTAAGAAAGGAAAGATTTGCTGGTCTTCTATTCCCTAAGCAATTATGTGGGTGGTTTGGACAGAAAGGAACAGCAGGGTCTTTGATCTTTAAACCTCTACTGAAGCTGAAGTCATCAATTTGGCTTTGGGTTGGTTGTCTATACATACTGAATTTAAAGAGGTTACTTCTGATTGTAAATTTTTGAAGATGGCCTTTTTTTGAGGTCCTTCTGTTTTGGTGTGTACAGCTTCTCATTGTACAAAGGACCTTTTACATCAATATAATTTATACTTAAACTTTGCTCAAAAAAAAAACATATGATATCTAATAATAAAAGTCAGTTTTATCCAAAAACTGAACTGAAAATTCAAAATATGTTAAAACATGATAAAAATGCAGTTTAATGCAAAATATGCTAAAAAATCAAAAATATGCCAAAATTTAAAAAAAAAAGCAAGATATTAAAAATATTAAACACATTATTAATTAAAAATATAAACCTAAATTATAAAATAAACGTTTTAAATAAACCTATTATCTCAAATTACATAAATATAACATGTAAAACATATTTAAAATGAAAATTTAAAAATAAAATCAAGCATAACATATAAAACATATTCAATCATGTAAGCTCTTAATCTCTTTATATTTTTTCCCAATTGCATTACTTCAAATAGCTAATATTGCTCACTGATCAATCCTAATAAAAGATATTTTAAAAACACTTAAAATTATAAATCTCTTGGTCAAGGGTCCAGAGGTGGAGCCCCTGACCCATCTGCTAAGCACAAAAAAAAAGAAAAAATGCACAGATTTTCAAAAGGTGTGTGCCTGGGCTGACGTGTAAGGCACACCAGGCACATGCCTTTTGAAAGTGATGCACCTGGGACCTAGGTGAAATGCATACCCTAAATTGTGGCTCGCCTGTGCACCTAGGCATGCCTTTTAAATCGCAGACTTGTTGGCTGAGTGAGCCCAGTATATCATTCCTTAAGATATGCAGAATTTCTTATGGAGGTGGAACCAGTATCCCCTGGCTGTCAAGGCTCAAACCAGTTATGTGAAGATAGCAATTGCAAGCCACCCGCTGGAAATTTAGAAAAGGCTAGAATCTTCCAGAATGAAGATCAATCTGCAATGGAGGCGATTGGGCATAAATGGCAGAGTGATGGATTGGATCTAGACTTTGAATATATCATAGTTGTCAAGGCATCACCTACGTACCTGCCTAGGCAACAAAAATGACAAGGTGGATTCTTTTAAATTAAACAATGGCTCCATCTTTGTTCCTTTTCTCTTTTTAAATTTTATTCCAAATTAGTTTTTAGTTGCTAATTTGCTATGAAATTGCTCTATTAAATACTTGTTATATTAGTATTATTTTTGAAAGTATTGAAATTAATATCTGTTATGGGGCTGGGGTTTGAGAGGTCTATCGAGAAGAGGTAAGATTGTATGGAAGGCGTTGCCAGCGGTGGTGTGGTCAATTGGTCAGGAAATCTTAAAAGCATTTGGGGAAGGTAAACTCCTGGGTGGCAACTCACAACCTGTTAAAGAATTGTCCTTACAATTCTTTTTTGGAGTATAGTAATCTTTTTATATGATGTTCTTTTTTTTTTGGAGTATAGTAATCTTTTTGTATGATGTTCTTTTTTTTTTTTTGGAGTATAGTAATCTTTCAGTCTTCTATTAATGAATTACTTTACCTTTTCTCTCAAAAAAATATATATACTATTGTCCTAGATATGATGATTTCCCATGTTATGAAAGGAAATGTAATGTTCTTAATAAAGAATGTTGCTATTTTTTCAATTAATATGCATGCTCAATGATATATAGAAGTAGGGAACTGGATGAACTTTAGTTTTTAAATTATTTATCAAATGATAGTTTTTTTATTTTATGAAATTCTTATCTCCTAGGTGCCTGCCTAGGCATCTAGGTGACAAGGTGCCCCCACTGTCACCTAGAATTGCCTAGACACCTTGACAGCTATGGAATATATTTAGAATTCTATGGACAATCTTAAGCTTCAAAGATTGGATTGCCATTTCAAGATTCCAGCTCAGTACGACCTATTGAATTGCAGCCACCCCAAAAGGAGAATGCCATTAAATTGATTTTCGATCACTGCTTGTCTATAATTTTGGTCCATCTGGCATAGGACAAGTGTTTAGACAAAACAACATACCAACACAAGGTCTCGATTTTTTGCTATGGCCTTGTGAGCATAAGTTACTCAGTCGGAGTTGAGTTCCTCTCCCTCCTTCAAGTTCAAGAGCTGATGGCTTATCTCTCAATTATGAGAGGCTCACAATCAAAGTAGATATCCAGATAATGATCAGATGGACAAGGGATTGCACTGTTTGCACTTTTTCTGTCTCCCAACATAAATACAATCAAAGCCAGAACATGAGTTCCCAAACACAGTCAAAGACCCAAACTTCCAGGTTCTGTAGCCCCTCAATTGTTTCCCAAATGCATATGGCACTCATGAGAGACGCAAGAGTTGATAGTGCATTTCATCCTTTCATTGTCATAATTCTCCTCCAAGGGAGATGCAAGAGTTCCATTTGATTATCTGAATCCAGTGAAATCTACAAATGGTCATTCAAAATGATTTACCTAATACCTTTGTCTATAAATCCCATTGGGTCCAACATGAGCACACATTTTTCTAGCCAAAACTCACAGCGAGAAAGTGTTTCCCTAAAATATTCATATACTCAGCCTTTTTGTTTTTCTCTTCCGTTTTTTTTTTTTTTAATTTTTCCTTCCCTTTTAGACCACTTAGGGGTCCATATCCAGTCTACCCCTCCCAAGACCCCAGATAGCTGGGACCAACATCAGTGTCTTACTTTGCAAGCTTGCTAATAGTGTACTGAGATCTCTGGTGTATTGTTTGTTTTTGTTTCTTTTTAGTTTGAAGTCTTTATGTTATGAAGGGGGTTGGTGTTTTTAGTTGAAGGGGTTGTGTTGTTATGTGGGTGATATTTTATCACCTCTTTGTTTTCTTTTGTCCCTCTCTCTTAATAAATTTTTTCCTTTTTTATTTATCTCCGAGAAAAAGGATTTCTTAATGAATCAAAGACAATTTCTGACACTAAGCAAATATCTTGTTCTCACGGATGCCTAGATTTTATGATGCATATGCTAGTGATCATGCTATAATTGGCATCTAGATTAAAATTCATACTGGGAATTAGATATCCCACTGCAACTTCACATCTTTGGTAGTTTGGTTTGTTTCCTATCAATGGCAAAGGATATATTAGAAAATTGAAAAAGAAGGTACAAGACTATTGATCAAAAGAGGATGTGTAAGGGACAAAAAAAGGCCCTAAGATAAACAAAAGGTGCTAAACATACAAACATACATAACTCCAAACCAGTAGAGAAGATTACAGAAGCTCCTTCCCATACTCCCTCTAGAACAGCTGCCATCCACAGGCATGGCAGCTTTCAGAGCCCATTTGAATGAGTAGTTCAAGCTGAAATCTAGCGAACTTGCTTTTATGACAATGTGACTGTTCCTCCAATGACCAAATCAGAGTCTCCAGCCCACTCAGCAAAGCATTAGCTTCATATCATAGCTTTAACTCACTGCCTCCGGATTCTTTTTTCCCCATCTTATCAGTAGTAGGAGAAAAATATCAAGAAAGAGAAACAAAACTCAGGATACTCTTTTGATCAAGGAATGTTACAGACTTGCAGGATAATTCATATATAGCAAGCTAGGTAGTTCAGTAGCTTTTGAAACCGTACAAAAAGCAAACACTTTTAAATAGAACAGCAGTACAGTAGATAAAGAGATTAGACAATCAGAGAAAAACAAAAAAGCAAATAAAAGGTATGTAAAAGGATAGCATACCCGATGACACGCCTCTCCTCGTAAGTCTTAGAAAGAACATTCCCCTCTTCTCCATCTCCACAACCAAGGAAGTTCCTCCTTTGCACAATACTATAAATGTTCCTCAGTGGAAAGTTAACATCGTTATCAGTGCCAACCAACTTATCGACGGATGCACTTTCAATACCTGCAATGCTACTCAAGCACCGAAGCTGCACAAATCTTCCAAACCGTCCACGATTCCTAGCAGACCTCAGCAACAACCCTACATTGTTTCTACCTGATAACAACCTCCCAACTGCCTTAGAGGCCGACACAAGAGGCGGCATTGTAAAACAACTCTTTCCTTCACAAGTTTGAACCTCTCAATATCCTTATTAAGTTTTCCCACTCTTTCTCCAACAATTCTAAATGCTCTAGAATTTAGTAATCAATCCCAAAATGCTCTAGAATTGGGAAAACATTAAAAAATATAAATTTTGTCAACTCTGCAAAAAGGAAAAAAGGAAAACAAGAAATCAACACCCACCCACCCAAATTTCTTCAAACAAAAACAATGATCCTCAAATGAATAAGAGATTCCGATAGAAATCCAAATATCCGAAACCAAAGTTGCTCCAAAAACAACCAAAAAAACTCGAACCAATACCAGATTAACCCTAAATCGACGCCGAAACGCAAATAAATTAGCTCTCCTTGGAGAAAAGAATGGGGCCAGAGAACATTCGAACACCCAAATCTACTGACGCGGACAGTAATGGTTGACTCTGGCCGCCAAATTTGATGCGTTACAGCAGGAGATTGGCTGCCCTGAAGGAGAGAAGCTGGGGGAGGAGAGAAAACGACGATTGCTGGTTTTAATCGACGAGACGGGGTCATGATGTAATCTAGGAAATAAATTCCAATCTGACGGCACTATGCCGGCTTTGTTGAGTCCAACTTTTTCTTTATTTGTTAAACCGGCAGCGATGAGCCTCCATCTTCGGGATCATTCGTACAAGGCTTTGTAGCCGTTGATTGGTTAGATATCGTGTCCTTTCACATATGTGTTAGGCGGTCTGATAAAAAGCTGTGTTCTGTAATTCTGTTTAATAATAACGCCTTACGTGAGAATGTCAGAACTTTTGGTGTTTAGTAACATTTTTTTAAAAATTTTGTATAAAAATCTTAGTAGTTTGAATAAAGTTTGACATCTCTCTATGCCAAGATGAATTTAAAAAAAAAAAAAATGGAAATCTTTATTTAAAATTTCTAAAAAATAGTCCAAAAGAGGTTTCCCATGTCTTTTTGGAGTTATAGAATTTTTCTTAACCAAATGAGAAAAAATCAAAATATAGGCTGTTAAACTTCAACAACTCACAGGAAAAGATGCACCAAATTGAGTTGAAGATGGATTCAGATTACAAAAATCAATGATTTCTTGAAAGTTGATAATTTGTTTGTTTGATTGCACTACTGGTGTGCAATGGTGTGTAGGTTGATTTATGGACAATAATGTTTATTTGATATTATTTTTAGATGGTGATTTTTCATTGTTGTAACATTTTTATGGCTCCACGCTGGATATCATGTCATCCAAAAAAAAATGGCCTAAAACAGAATAAATAAAATGACAATTTAAGGGTTGATTTGCCTAATCTATTTCTAAGTGATTATTTTTACTTTTGGTGAATCATTGATGTGACTGACGTCTAGCTGATTTCTTTAAAAAAAAAAAATCAACCATAGTCCCAAACGCCTCCCTTATTAATACCAAGTGAGCTAATCTAGTTCAACGGGTTAAATATTCAAATTTGATTTGTGGACAATCAAGCTAATCAAGTCCAGGTTCGAATTTTGCAATACTACACTAAAGTGGCTTATGAGGCTAATCTAGTTTCCCGTGTTTAATAAAGTAGTGTTTAATGATATGATACTCTCATTTAATTTTGAAGACCTATGTCACAGCTAATGCAAGCACTAAATGACTAAATGATATAGATATTAATATATTTATTTATAATTCTATAAATATATACGTAAGTATATAATATCTATTTAAATCCTCAGAGAGCATTAAACACTAAATTAATACCACGGAGTGGCATGTGACCAATCCATAGTCAACTTTCCCACTATGATGAACCTGCAATGCATTACAGGTTATGCGATGAATTTACAGAGCGCATCGCGGAACCGCAATAAACCCGCGGTTTGCTACACGCCTACAAGCCCATTCACAACTCGAGCCAAGAGAAACCCGAGTTGAGCCCTTTGCAAAAGGTCCACACGTGCCCAAATCTATAATAGGCCCACATCCCATCAAAAATGTGGTGGAGCGCCATGTAGGGTTAACAAGACGTCGCTCGTTGGGCAATGACGCCACTAAATGCCACACCAATTAAATAAAGTGCACGAGAGGTAGTAGCACACAAGAGTAATGAGGGGTCTTGAGGGGAATGAAAGTTGATTCTCAGGAAAATCCTCATAAGACATGTGGCGAAACCCCAGTGGCGCACTTAATGATTGACAATAAATCCAATATTCTCTTTCCCGATAGGAGACAAGCGCCTTTATCTCCTACCTTTTAGGATCTAGGGATCTCCCCATAAATAGAGATCCTCCTCATAGTGAAATTCATTCGGTATCCAACACTCAACATCCAACACTTGAGCACTCCTTCGCTCTGACTCCTTACCCTAGCACTCTTAGCCCAAAAGCCAATCTCCCCACTTTTCGGCCTTTCTCTATCTTTCAAAGACAGTTCCCACATCCAAGCCATACTGCACCTATAGTAGAATCTCTTGTTCGCCTTTGATCATAGAGAATGGCCTCACAGAGGATAAATCTCACCACCATCCCCGAATAACAGAGCAACGCCCCAGAGAACACCAACTTCGGAATGGAGAACCAGCCCGAGATGGAAATGCCTATCCAAGCTGATATTGAAATACTTCCAAACAAAGTCCAGGAGTTTGAGGCACTTTTCGAAAATAGGTTCAGAAGGCTAGAGCAAATGCAGGAGGAAACGAGAAGTTCCCTCCAGATCTAGCTCAATCGATCGGTCCAAGCTGAACAAATCCCCGCCGCCACTCTTGCCAGCATCCCTAACTCTAATCCCAACCCCAGCTGTCATGCCTCCAACCAAACCCCTGCCATACTAGAGTAGCCCAACGGGGCCAACCCCACCCTGACCCAAATAGGCCACCAACCTACCCACCAGTCTCATGCCTCTCCCTACACTGACCCGATAGCAGAAACCCATCTTAGTTGAGACAATTTGAGGAAACACGTCCAGGGGTTGGTAGTTGAAAGCCACAACCAGGCCCAAGATTCGGCTATCCTACAAAAGCCTTATTCTGACCGTATCTTGTACAAGCCCTACCCGTTGGGTACACCCCTCCTCAACAATGGCCACAATACGACAGAAAGAGAGGTAGCCCGCAGGAGCACATCAGCAAGTTCGAGGACACCCTCGGTTCCTTTGCTCTTGACAGGGACCTCAAAGTACGTGAGTTTTCAAAGTCACTGACCGGCCCAACATACACATGGTTCGTGAGTCTCACCCCTTGAAGCATTGATTCATGGGGTGAACTAGCCAAAAAGTTCCTATCAAAGTGGTTCACTCTAGAGAGAAAACCGACAATGGCCGATCTACGGAACGTAGAGCAAGGACCAGAGGAGGATCTTCTGGCCAACGTTATGAGGTTCCATAAACTAATGCACTTCGTCTTTAACGAACATGCCACTGAGAAAAGTTTCATCGAGCAGTGCGTGCAAGGCATGCACCCCACCTACAAGATTGGCATCGAAAACGTTGAAGTCGAGACCTTTAGCCAACTCTGGTGGTGTGCGGAGAGGATGGCACAGACCGTCAAAGACACCTCCCCATACAACAAGAATGAGGCGTATGCAGTTGATAGAAAGCCCAGAAGCAACGAAGGAGTCAGACAGGGGTCGTATCAGTGCGACAATGCCCCAGTAAGAAGAAATGTCCCTCCCCCCTTTCCCTACACAAGGGAGGAGGTGATCATGATAATGAACAAGGTAGTCGAGGACAGGGTCATCAATCTGCTTCCACCACCAGTAGAAGTGGACCTAGAGAAGGACAAGCGCGGTGGGAGATGGTGCAACTTCCACTAGTCACCACACCATGACCTAATGGAAACCTTGAAAAGACTATTTGTACAGAAAGAGAAGTTGGATGAGTTTGTCAAAAGAGACCCAACACGTGTAGAAACTGATCCCCTCCTAGCCCATACCCAGGGGGGAAGCATCAATGTGGTAGGAGCAGCCAGCCAGTACCAGTCTAATGCTCTAATAGAAAAGCTAGAGCAGAGCTAGGAGCTGCAACAATTCTTCACCAAGTAGGTGGCCACTACGACAATGTAGAAACTAGCAATCAGAGCACTGGCGGAAGTCTTTAGACACCCGCTACAGCCCTACAGCCGCGACCGCAGCAGTGTAGAGTTCATAGCAGAAGACATGTTAACCACTGACCACCACCATAACAAACCTCTATGCATCATGACCAAAATAGGCGGTTTTGAAATGAGAAGGTCAATGGTTGACCCAGGAAGCTCTGTCAACCTCATCTCCATCCACACGTTGGAGTTAATGAGCGTCTGGAAAGAGGATATCAAAGGATTGCCATTGGAAGTGATAGACTTCAACAAGAACAAGTCCATCACATAAGGGTCCATCGAGCTACAGGTAGCAATCGGCCTATTCAGCATCACGTAGGAGTTTTAGGTAATCCCAAGGCGGACCTCTTACCATGCCCTCTTGGAACGCCCAATAATACACGCCTTGGCTCTTGTCCCTTCAACATATCATTAGTGCATCAAAGCTAAACATCAAGGACGATCAATCATGATTCCAACCACCAAGGCCTCGTTTGATAAGTCAGAAATGCACCTACAAGATGCCATCTACTTCATAGAGCTGGCAGACAAAGGGGAAATGAAAATAGCTAAGGTCGAGGGGACAAAGCTGCCTAATCCCATAGAGAGAAAGCCAACGGGCACCGCAGAATGAAAGAAGAGAAGCAAATGCGTCCGAGTGATAGGAAGCGATGGAAAGGACTACTATACCATCATCGAGGATTACGAGGACAATGAATCACCCACAGCCAAGAAGGCCATTCCCAATGTATGATATTATAAATTATAATATATTATGTCTGCTAAAAATGAAAAGGTAGCTTTATTGCAACCTGTACCGATGATAAATGTCTTTTCAAAAAAAAATTCATCGCTAATATATAGTTTCATTACTAATTGCTGGCAAGATTAACAAAGAATGTACATCATTTCCCCCAAACATATTTGTGTAATCCTCTGCTAATACGAATACATATTATCTTCTTTGCCAAAAAGTCATTATAATCATCTAATGAAAGACTCTAAGTAATGTTGTTGCAATAATACCATCAAACAATAATCCAACCATTGAGATTGACACAAAGGTACGGCATTTAGCTGCAATCTTATTAGACACAAAAATCCCAAAATAAGAGACAAATAATAACGTGGGCAATGATAGGAGTTGAAGGAGGACGTTTTGGAATACTGTAATGAAGTAAAAGTGTCTCCCAAGTGCATGATAGATTCCGTAGACACAGTAGAAGAACCATTAGAAGAGATCAACTTAGTGGTTGATGGAACAAAAAAAAGACCGCTATACATATCCGCCAAACTAGCAAGTGAGGACAAAGAAAAGCTTATCGCACTTCTAAAAGGTAAGGAACAATCCTTATCGCAAAACCTTAAAACCCAAAAAATAGTCTAACTTGCGTACCCTCATAGAGTTTCAGGATGTGTTTGCCTGGTCATACGACAAGATGCCAGGATTAGACCTAAACCTCGTCAGACACTCCCTATGCATAGATCCCAAGTTCCG